GGAGCTCAACAGCGAATGAACGCTCGTCCAGACCTCTTGGTGGGAAACCAAGATATTGGCGGGAGGCGCATTTAATGCAGTAAATTTGGTAGTTGAGAAGCTAGGCACTCACAGTCATCCACATCATCAGTATCACTTATCTCTTGATAGTATAAATAGTAACATTTATTTCATTGTAAATGGTTGACAACTTATTCCCTCTAGCAATAACAACTATCTCCAACTCTTCTTACTTAGATAGACGAACGGCCTCGGAGCATGTAGTTGAAGTGTGTTGTATACGGACCATTATTATCATTTAATAAGATACGACCCACTTACTGCTCTTGTCATTTACCCATCTCATTTGCTTGCATCATACATCCATAAGACGTTCCACTCGAAATCCATAGGAACGTGTTGGGCCTTTGGGTTGAAGGAATAATCCTCAACAACTAAAATCCCCAAAAAAGTTTAAATTAGATTAAAATGTTTTGAAACTATTAAAAAGCATGAATAATAATTATAATTTTTTTTGAAAACTAAAAAAATTGAAAACGAAATATGTACAATAAATGATATTTTTTTTTTGGAAGAAGTTGGCTTATATTGATAATAAAGAACCTAAGTACGATACAACCAGACAAGGAGCCCACTGTCTACCATTCGTCCTTGAACCAGACTTAGAACCTGTCACATCAAAAGAAGCAACCAGTTTCGATGATCTTAAATTGGGCTTACCTGAGCCAATGACTAGCAAACTAGACTCCCCATTACCAATCCTATGTACTAGAGTCTTGACGTAAACAAAATTAAATACTAACAAAAAAACACGATATCTAAAGTGAAAACAAATGATGAGAGAAAACAACTTAAAATAAAAAATAACTGCACTTTACCAAAAGCACACGATCTTCACGTATTTAGGTCGGGTCTGGGTGCTCCAGCCCGCCTCTTCCTTGTTTTTGTTCCAGTCAGAGCCATGACATCCTCTTCTGCTTGCTCCTGCTCCTGCTCATGTGCCTCCCAGGTCCGCCTCCGTTTCTGTTCTGCCATTCCGTTGCTATTTCCTCTTGCTCCCTCAAACTTGGATTCATCCTCTTCCTCCTGAGTCTTATCTTTTGTGTGATTCTGACCCTGTTCCTTTTTTCTGTAAGGCTTCTTTGCAACCCCGCTTGGTCTCTTCCCACCCCTCCTTCGCTCACTACCCATTTATTGCTCAGAGAAAGGTGAGGTCGCCCTCCACCCGCCCGCAACCATGGTCCAAAGGATCTCGCAACAACCTTATCCCCCTTTTTCATACAATAAGGGGCAAATTTTTTTTAGCATGTCCTATAACTCCGCACGCAAAACAAAAGCTAGGAAGCTTCTCATACTTGAAGTCAACCCAGTAACCTTCCCCTTTGTCCTTTTTAGAGTTGTTCCCACTTTTAAGGGTTTCCTCACATCCAACATCACCCGCACCCTCATATAGGTTTCCCATTTTTTGTCAAATTGTTTGTCATCCCAGGTAATAAATTTTCCCAAGTGATTCCCAATTTTGCGGGCATTATCCAGATTTGAATATCCATAGGGGATGTTGTGCACCTATACCCAAAAACCAGCCGTATCTAGGGGCACTCTTAAAGGCATATCTCCCTGCTTAATATCTTTCAATGGTAATAGGTTCTGATCAAATAACCAGGGATCATTATCCAGCACACGATTCACATCAATTATGTGATAAAAGTAAACATGTGCCTTTTTTCCCCAATCTATTGAATCAGTACACCTTTACCCGGATGCCACGGAGATGCCATCAAATCCCGGAAGATTTGGAATTTCACAACTTTGTCCGTGAGGATCGTACCGACCAAGGGGAAGGTGTCCACCACCTTGTTCGCTGCTGTAGGATCGGGTTCTGCCTCTTCCTCGTCATCCAGCAACAATTCATCCTCCAGACCCCCCAAAAATCAGCCCTCCGTACCGATCGGTCAATTTCTCCACGCTGCCTACACCCACCGCCGCCGGGGACTCTCCATCCCCGTCGTGGAGCGCCTTGATCGACCGAGAAAAGGCTCCCCGTCTCTCCAGTGCCTTTCTCTGTGACGTTTGCTCTCCTGATCCCGCTTCGTTCTCCATGCGATTGCTATTCTTGCCGCACAACATCGGCAGAGGTCTCAAACCCTACGCTGAGGGAAGATCGCTCATTTCCCAATTAACCCTTACATTATATGTACAATAAATGATATTGAAAACTGAAAAAGTGAAAGTCTTTAAATGAAAAGTAAATAATTAGAGGACATAAATGAAATGCATCAAGATAAATATAGACGGAATGGGATATTTCCACTATTATTAATTCATGTTTTATATTAATTTAGTCTACATTATATCTTTCTTCGCATATGGAATCTCTACATCATTTTTGGCAAGAAAATAGCAAAACTTTTTATTTTGTGTACCTTACTACTTATATAATCTACGGACTAAGGTTGTTCATAAAGATTCTCTCTTCTTGATCTCTCCTATGCAACCTTAGTTATCAATACTATGATAATTAACTTGGGTTGTAAATGTTGTGATGTAAAAACAATTGTTACAATTGTCAATAATCTTATGTAATCTATGTCCCTAATGACGAGTTCTTCATATCCTATACGATCAACAACTAAATGGCTAAACTATTTCTATTTGAATTTTTTAATCTTTACTACTCTTCTAACGTTTTAACTACTCATTTAAATACTCAAAGAGTGAACAGTCCGTTTCACCTTCCCTTGTGAATAAATTAATTATATCTCACGTTACTTGAGATTCTACTATCATCAAAATTATTTTTTTGTACCTTTTATGAATATAAATATGGAGTATGAATTACAATTGAAATTTGCATACTTATAAAATAATATAAATCCTAAAATCTCTATTCCAAAATGAGAGTTACACACTTTACTATTCATTGATCAAATCAATTTTTTATCAAAATCTTATTAAATTTAATTTCAAGTTCAAAAAATTTATAGGCCCATTAAGTAGATTATGATTATATAAATTATAAATTTAAATTCTAAGAAGAATCTGTCAAAGAGAAATTTATTTTACTATTGAACAAATTTCAAAATCCACGAAGTAGTTGTTATTTTGAATTGTGGGAGTACTAAACATATTGCGGAGTAAAATTATTTTTGAATAAAGAAGGCTTAAATTATTATCATTATAAACTTGCAGAGAACCAATAGAGCAAACACTCCCATTTCGATCACGTGCCTTAGGATTAGGCGTGAAAATATATGTGTCATATGCACAATATTTCGCTAACCACTCAACGGGCATCTTGAACCTTACCGTAATCAAATGAAAGAGATTGCCCCGCAAAACACCCACCAGATAGGTGTTCCACACCGCAATCATAACAAAACTGTACTGACTAATGAAACCAAACATAACTGAAAAGTAATCAAAACTCGAAGTTTGAAAATAAAACTGTAAGCAAAATAAATAAAGCTTGGAATTTGAGCCATCCATCTTCAGTTTATCGGGAAAGCCTGTTGTTCAGAGCTCGTCCCAACCTCATTTTTTTCGCCGCTGGTGTCAACCTCCATCAATGTGCGAGCTGATGATGTCTCCACTTCCACCCGACAACGTTTTTGGTTAGCAACTTGTACTCATTCATCCTGGCTCGCTGGTTTCTCAATATCACCTACAAAAACAACAGAGCTAGAGCCCATATTCACTAATCCATTTGCCGGTGTAGAACTCTCTATTCCCTCGTCAGTGTCAAGTCCCTGCTTGAACGCTTTCTCAATCACAGGTCACTTATTACCTCTTCTTCCACTAGTGCTCCCACTACCTGCTTTCATCCATGGCTCAAATTATTGTGTGTGTTCGGAATTTGATTGTCCTAGAATTTGAGGACATGACTTGTCTCCATGACCAGTGATACCGCAAGAAAAACAGAAATTAGGGAGGTTTTCATATCTCACATCAACCCATAGACAATCCTCATTTGTTTTTTTGAACCTTTAGATTCTGTCTAAGTGGTTTCATGATATCAAGGCAGACCTGGATCCTCAAGTCGGCCCTCCAATACCCCTCAAATTGATTTTCATCAAGTTCAATAAAACATCCAAGGTTACCAATAATTCTAGCATCTCTTAGTGTTAAGTGAGCCACATGGAAGTTTTGCGCTCAAAGGCAGATCATCTAACTTGAGCATAGAGGAACTCTCAAAAGCAGATCATCTGACTTGAGTTCATGCAACACCACAAGATTCTGATCATAAACCATGGCCCATACTATATACGTTTCAAATAAACTTCATGGTAACCGGAGAAGAGATACTTCTTATCGCCTATTTCTTTGATTGAGACACCTTGGCTCGGCCTCCAAATAGACATTGTGTCCCGAAATGCCAGAAATTTCACCACCCTCACTGTTAAAATAGTGCCCACTAAAGAGTAAAGACCACTCGGATAGTCCCCTTCCTGCTCTTCCCTCTTGTTCTCAGTTGGCAATAGTAGATCCACCTCGTTGTCATCCACCTCCTCCTGCAATTGTACGTAGCCGACCATAACGATCAGCTAGCCCCTCATGTGTGTCCATCATCCCTCCCGCCTACTGCTGAAGCCACTAGCAAACCACAAAAAACAGAAAACACAAGAAAACAAAATCAAACGACGCAGGCAAAACACTTTGCGACGATTGACCAAGAAATGCAAAACACTGAACAAAGCTGATAGTCGCTGTCGGTGGGGCAGTGAGCGACGAAATCAAACCCAACCCCTACCTTGCACCACCCAACTGACCAGCGGCTCCTATTGATGGAGATGTAAAGGTAACAGCCAACCTATCAGAATAGAGAAACCAATGCATAGATCGAAAAACCAAACACAATTGTGCCACAAGTGGATCTGCACAAATGCGGTGCTCAAACCCCTACATTATGAGGGGAAGACCGCAGTTGCTAACATATTACAGAGTATTAGATAGTACAAGAGTATTTAAATTTAGAAACAAATAAAATTAGAAAATGATAATCACGATGAAACAAGTAATTTGGCAACTGATTCACACAGTAAGTACATGGATTTTCCGCTATTATACAATGTACAATTCCATTTAAACTTAGAACAGAGATGAAGATTGACAATGCAAACTACACCCTATCGAGTAGCTATCGACTGAGAAATTGTTTGAAATCATTTTAGTGCAACTTTATCTAGTCGGTCACTATTACAAGAGTCATTCTATTTGTACACGTTGTTATATTCTTATACACTTGTCTGTGACAAGTCATTTTTTTGTCTGTGAATCGGCATGTTTTGTCCGTCAGAGACAAAAAAATATCCACAGACAAGTTTTGTCTGTGAATCTCGTTCACAGACAAACAAGTGTATAAGAACGTGTATAAGAAAACGTGTACGAATCCTTTTTTTGCTATTACAAACGGCTAGTTTGATCCACCTTGACCCATGGCATGCATCAGATTGCTGCCTACGCCTGCGATTTGTTGTACCTTGACGACAATATCATTCCACTGCACGAAAGTGATCTCTTCCCCACCTCACCCATTAATGAAGATGAAGATGGCGATGAAAAGCTCTTCCCTATTACAGGCCTCATTTCCCCATTCTGTGGAACCAAGTCCATAGAAACTGATCTTCTAATTCCAGCAGTTTCAGCTCTATTATTCATTGATGATAATAACGAACCCCCCTTCAATTCATCAACCCTACTCTCTTCCACACCAGATCTGCTCTCTTCTTCCAAATCTACTTCAACTATTCCTCCCCTCCCCCTGCTTCCCGGAGCCGCCTCCGCGGCGGCGGCGGCGGATTCCTGAACTGAAATCGGGGCGCGGCAGATGGGGCAATTGGTGTGGGAGGCAAGCCAAGTATCAATACAATGGATGTGGAAGGCGTGTTTACATTTAGGCAAAACCCTAACCCTCTCCCCTTCTTCAAATTCACTCAAGCAAACACAACAATTGCTGCAATTACCGTCTTCACCTCTCTGGTTGTACCTGCAAACGGTGATCCGGTTAATCATCGACTGCCCTAGGCCGACGGTTCTGATGTGCCATATCGGGTTGTCCGCCGCATCCTCCGCCACCGCCAAAGTACTCATCCTCTCATCAACCGCGCCGTCTTCGTCTGACGAATCGCTGCCGCCACTTCTCCTCCTCCTCCAATTTCGGAAGACTACGTAGCCGGTCATGAAGAGGAAGAAGAGAGCTGCGCCGGCGGCGAGCACGGGGAGGAAGAGAGGCACCTGGAACTGGAAGTGCTTTACTGGGCGGGCGGCGTCCTGGGAAATGAAGTCCGGCGGTGGCGGCAGGGGAGGATGATGTAGAAGCGGCAACGGCGGAAGGGGAGGAGGGTGTAGAGGCGGCAACGGCGGTAAGGTTCGTCTGCAAGTGGAGAAACAGAGAGGAAGACAGAGTAGTGGGCAAGGGAGAGCGTGCTCTGAGTTCTTATTTGGGTTGCAGAACTGGTCGCAGGGCGGGTCGGATATGATAATCTGGAGGGAACCAGCTAGCAGCTTCCTTCTTCGCCGGCGGCGGGAAGCCATCGTCGATCTCCACTTTGCCGTTTGTACTGGATGCGGTTATAATTGACGGTTTATTAATGGCTTCAATGCGACTGAAGGGGTTGACTTTAACGTAAGAAACGATAACGTGTGGCTTCAAGCTTCAAGCTAAGGCGGGAGAAGGGAGTAAATGCAGTATATATTCGAGAAGGCCGAGCGAACGGGCCATCCATCCAATTTATGACTCCCTCCCTTTATTGTTGTTTGTCGTTTTATGTCAAAATCAATTGGCTTAATTAAAAGAGAGAATTGTCCAACATAGGACTAAAACTCAATTTTTTTTTCATAATAGGACCACATGCATGTTTTTCTCTAAATATGACTAATCTTACATTTTTTTACCTCTAATTCTATTTAATTAATTAATTGATCTAAATAATTGTCCCCCATAGTTTCCTTGCACAACCAAGGCAGTCCGTCAGTGGCGGGGCAGTCCGTGGTGGCGGCAGCACTCCGGCAGCGGCCAGCGGCGGATTCCGGCGGCGGCGGCAACTCCGGTAATCAATTAACCCAATTAATTGCCCCCCTAGTTCTCTTGCACAACCAAGGCAATCCTTCGGTGGCGGGGAAGTCCGGTGGTGGTGGCAGTACGGCGGCAGTGGTGGCGGCAGCTCGGCGGCAGTGGCGACGGATTCCGGCGGCGGCAAGAAAATAAAAGACATTAAATAGACAATAAATAGACAATAAGTAGACAATAAATAAACAATAAATTCTGATAAACACCAGTGTGCGAGAACTCCGGCGGCGGCGGAGGCGGCGGAGAACTCCGGTGGCGGCGGAGGCGGCGGCGGCAGAATCTGGTAGTCTGCCAGATATTTTTTTGGATTTTCCGGCGGTGCTCCGGCGGCGGCGGCGGGCGGCGGCGGCGGCAGAATCTGGCAGTCTGCCAGTTATTTGTTGGAATTTTCCGACGGTGCTCCAGCGGCGGCGGCGGTGGCCGGAGGTCTGGCGGCAGGCGGTGGTGGTCGGAGGTCTGGCGCCAGGCGGCTGGCCGGAGGTCCAGGGGCAGCATTCTAGGGGCAGCAGTGGGGGTAATTTGGTCCAATCACACATAAAAAGTCTTACTTAAGAATGTTTAAACTAATTGGTCATATTTTGGGGAAAAAACCATGTTTTGATACTATTATGGTAAATCTCCCTAATTAAAAGTAGAATTATTGTGTGTAAAATAGAATTATTGGGTCAATGGATTTTTTTAAATAGACGTAAAAAATAAAGTAACATCCAAAATAGAAATATTATGTGTTTTTTAAAACAAGAGTAAATTACTTACTACTCCGTCCCTTAAAACATTGTCATATATCTTTAAAACATTGCCCACTAACTTTGTCACTTTCTTATTTAAATAAAAAATTTGTGATTCCAGTTAATTCTCTCTCATCTTCACAAACCTCAATCACACAATTTTTATTTTATTAATGCTCGTGCTGGTCAAACTTGTCAAAGTTTCAAGGGACGGAGGCCGTACATCATATTTTGTTATTATCTCTCTGTCCAACCAATATCAAAAGCCTATGGACCCCTCACATGAACCTTAAAGACATGCCAAATAATCGGTACGAATCCAGAGACATGGAGATAGAAGGGTCCTATTGTGAAGAAAAGCGGCGGACGTTCGGAGAGGGGACGTTCTGGTTGGAAGTGGATGTCATGGACGTCTGCGCCATGGAGAGGGCCGCCGCAGTAGTTGACGTCGAGACCGCCAAAGTAGAGAACAGAAAAGTGGTGGAAGTTGTTGTCGCAGTGGTGGCGCAAGAGGTAGACAGGAGGTTACATGCGCCATGAGGAAAGAGAATTAGATTTACCTAGCGACTGATACCATATGGCTCACCCTAATAGGGTGTGCTCATGGTACATTTATAATAAACGGTAAAAATATTAAATTACCAAGATGTCAGGATACTATATTATTAGATTAGACATAGAATAGTTCATCTCGGGAAGAGCGAGACTAATTGCTGAAATAGTGAGAGCAAAGAGACTATTAGTGTCTGAGACAATCTGATTGCCTCCAATGATAATTCTGCATGTTAAACTAAACCAACACTCATACCCTTCCCCTTATTGTACGACAAAAAAACAATAAGCAAACAAATTCAGTCTGAAATGAAAAATGCAAAAAAAAAAGCAGAAAAAGTTCAAAAGATGGAATTCTCTTGCTTCCATCCTTTCTGAATCCTCCTGCCCATACTTCAAATGTGTGACAAGCGAGCATTGTAGCCCGCATCCTCCACAGTTTTTTATGCCCTCAGCTCTATCTTCATATCTCACTTCTCATCGCCTTCGTTCAATCGGAAAGATAACTTGGACTTCACTAGCTATCTGTGGGGCTTGAGACATCTCCCCGTCATTTAGCTTTGCAATCTCCCGGTTCCCATTGCTCAACCTTCGTTCACCCTCCCATGCCTTCAATCTCTTGTGCAAACATGTTACACCATAATCGTCTGAGCGTCCTCTAATGTGGTTGTAGCAGCTCAACCTTCGTTCACCCGACCCATGCCTTCTATGTTCAAGATACTTTCATAAAGGTATAAAATCTATAACTGTACTTCATAGTATGATAATAATAAAAATCATAGTCCAAACTCTACGAGATGACAGAGTCCTTAAGAATGGAGGTAGTAATATTTTTTTTAGTTTCACATTGTTATTACTATATGTACCTACTTACATTGACGTTTCCGCAAGGTGAGAGTCCATGGAAGAGTCACACTACAACTCTACAAGAACATATAAGACTTCCCTTTTCATTTTCACAAGATCTTGTTTCAAAAATTTGAACGCGCGACAAACATGCTATGTACGTGAAGGCTCCACTAATTTTCCTTATTTAGTTGTATCAATAAATTTATAAATGTTGTCTCTTTCAATTAAAAACAAGTATGATGTTAAACTCATTTCTTTCTCCTATTTAAAAATATCATTTGCACAAATTCTATTTTATTAGTCCATGCATAAATATGAGGTCAAGTTTTATGTGATATGCATGGAGTACAATGTTGTGAGGAATTGAATGGATATTTTGGACGCTCTATCTGGCAGGTGAATAAGGTTGCGGCCAGATATGATGCGATAATGTTCTTCTAGCTACTTGTTGCCATGCCGGACACTGACAGGTTTCTTTAACTCAAACCGTTCAGGTGGGCGTTAGCAGATACATAACCATTTATTCATTGCTCTATTGATGTGCCTTATACATTACTACTCCCTCCGTCCCAAAATTATTGTCCCGCTTTCATTTTCGGTCCGTTCCGAAATAATTGTTGCGTTTCTAAGACTTCCTTATTTGGTAAACAAATCTATACCGAACAATGTCAAACAGTACAAAACAGTGTCGCTACAGTGCCAAACAGTGTCGCTACAGTGCCAAACATTGTTGCTACAGTGTCATTTTAATCTATGTGAAAAACCAAATGGGACAATAATTTCGGGACGGAGGGAGTACTTGCTTGACAAGTATAAAATTGAATTGAAGCTTGAGAATACTTGAGAATACATTATCAAGTGGTAAATAAGGTAAAATTAAGGGAAACAATTCTTTTGACTGTACATTATCAAGCTTAATTAAGGTAAAATATGAATTGAAGGCTTGAAGCTTGAGAATACTTGAGAATACGAGCCCGTTTGGTAGCACAAAAATCGGCTGTTTTGGTTGATTCTGCTGAAATTTATGAAGTGGCTGCATTGGCTGATTCTGCTGATTCAAGAAAAAAACATTTTTAAAATATATTTTATTAATAGAATAAAGAAAAAATTATATGTAAAAATAGCTAAAATGGTCATCTACAGTAACTTCGGCCAATACAGCCAGAAAAGTAACTCCAACCTTACTTTTTTGGCTTATTACACAATTCAGCGCGCGAAAGCAAAATTTACGTGTTTGATAAAAAAGTTGGCCGATACGCCTGATAAGCCGAAAATGAAGATTGCCAAACGGCCTCTACATTATCAAGTGGTAAATAAAACATTACCACTTGCTTGACAATACTACTATATACAATTATTGTATATTTACTCAGGTAATTGATAATGTTTTTTAAACATTACAATAATTGCTTCTATTTTGGATGAGAAAATATAGTAGTATTGTTTTCAAATTCTTACAGCCATGTTATACGAGGAAAAACAATGTGAACTGAAGCTCTAAAATAAAAGTATTGTGTTTTTAATACTTAGAAAATAATGTCAGTTATTGACATTAATAATCCATTTGAATACCTTACAATGTCAAATATGACAGTACAATTTCAAAAAAATAATAATTTAATCTCGTTTAAGAAACATGGCATTCGTAATTTGAAATTTCAAAATTCTCCTATTCCAGGAAGTTTATCATACATATTGGTATAAATTTATGAACTTAAGTAAATATTGTCATCTTTTTCCAAAATACGTAGTATATAATTAAATATCTTATCAACGAATTTTAGAAAGACTTAACTTGTTAATTTATACAAAAAAAACTCGTTGATTAGTTGGAAAATTTTGTGAGTCCTATCTTTAGGTTCAAAACAAAACATTCAAGCTCAACATTGATAAATGAGCCAAAGAAAAAAAATGTTCAGAAACAACCCACCGCTAAACTTATATCGCAAATTATACGCTACGTGAAGATATACATCCGATATTTTTGTAATTCTGAGCAATTATGAGGTTTCTTTTCTTCTTTCATATCAGTTGCACACCAAACAATTCCATATCTCATTCCAAGCATGCATGCTTGTTAAACGTAACGTCATCCATTTTCCAACTTGAATTGTTCCAATGAAGGAGCTATCCATCTCCAGAGTCAAGACTATTTTCATCCTTTGACATTCATCGCGAGTTCGATTCCCAATTCCAAAATCATTTTTGTTCGTTTTTCACATGCACATAAGTCTCAGAGCTGTAACAAGTTTTCAATCGGTCAAAATACTATATATATGGTTTTGCGTCATCTACAAGAGAATCAAATTACTATATGTATACAAACTACTTATTATAAATGATTTTTCTTAATATTTCTCACTAAAAAATATACTAATAATTGAGTAAAATAATTAATCATATTAAGGATATTTGCAAATAATATAACTTTGAATGAGTTTTTTCTTTACTCAAATGAGTATAATGTTAATAGGGAATGTGTATTGATATAATGTTTTAAAATGAGTACTCATGGAGGCTATTAAAATGAGTGTTGTGTTATACGACAATGAGTATAACGTTTAAGTAAATGCACGTTGATGTAACATTAATGAATATTTGAGCACATTGAAGATTAGAAATGAACATTTGAATTTTTCTATGCTCATTTTGTAAAATGTGTATACTCATTCGGTACTGATTTTATGCTAATTTTAAAATGTCATATCAATATCGACGAAACTCACACAACTAGATTGGAGTTTGCTCACATAATTTCAACACTCAATAGTAGAAATGAGCATAGACAAATAAGGATTTGAGTGCATTAACAATTCCGATTGTCGTTTTGAATTTTTCGATACTTATAGGTCGCGATACTCAGTTACATGTTTTTAAATACTCAATAGTCAATATGTGGAGTTTAATGCTCAAAAAATGTATTGATACTCAACTAGTAGAACTTACAATTTTCATATCAATGCATATTTCAGAAGTTTCATACTCCCTCCATCCCGAATTGAATTGCAAACTTTGACCGACACAAGGATTAAGGAATGACAATAAATGATGCTTGCTTTTTACACTTTTGTCCATCTTTCTAAAAGTAGATGTCTTTAAGTTAATGGGAAAAAAGTAAAAGTAAAGGTAAATTTGTCACTTTATTCTTATTTACATACCTAAAATAGAAAGTGGAAAACCATTTTGGAACAACCAAAATAGGAAATTTTGCAAATCAAATTGGAACGGAGGGAGTATTACAATATTACATTAGACTCGCATATTGAAATTAATAGGAGTGGATTATAAATATAATTTCATAAATTTTTATAAAATAAAAAATAAGGAAAGAGAGTGAATTAGAAGATTTGATGCTCACTAAAAGTACACTATTGGTCATTTAGCAGTAGCCGTGATTTTTCGCTTAGATTACAAAAATGACACTGAATATTTTTTGGCTTGTATTAGTTATTGGGCTGTCTTTCTTAGTTGGGCCGGATGTATGATATAGGCACTGAACTTACATAGTACAGAGTAGCTACGTAACTCAAGCATACCAAATGGGAACAATGTTAATGACTTGATGTTAATCTTAATCTAAACCGTTCATTGACATTGAAAGATTTCAAAACCAGAACCAACGATTGACAACATGAGATGAATTCAGTCTTCGACTATAAAACCAAAGAAAACTATCATTCAGCTTCAAAGAAGTTAAACTTAAAATCAAATACTCACCATGTACAATTCAACCATTTGGCTTACCGACTTAGCGTTGCTAACTAACATTAAAAGACACTAGGACATGCATGAACGACTTCTTTTGACATATATGCCCATTTAATGTGAGATTTCTGATGGTTGTACACGGAATGATTATATTATTGGTACAAAAATCAATAGTGTGAAGACTACATTTTGAGATTCAATAGTGGAAGAGGCAACAATGAACACTGTCAATGGTTTCTCAGCTTGCTTGCTGGAAACTTGAGTCATCCGATACAACAGATGTTTTCTCAGGGTTTGTTTTACTTACCAGATTGTTTATGTTCATGCCATAAATATGTCCCATTTTGGCACGCTTTGTTTCCAAGTATCTCTTATTGTCTTTTGTTATTGGGGTCACAAGAGGTACCCTTCCAGCAACTGCCAAACCATAGCCTTTCAATCCACTGTATTTAGCCGGGTTGTTTGTCATCAACTTCATAGTTTTCACGCCAAGATCCCTTAGTATCTACCCAAAAGATAAATCTCGCGTTACATCATATAATAAATATAAAGATACAAACTAACTCATGACATTTTGGTTCGATGATTTCTGAGGAGTGGTAGGATGATATTAATTTTTTCAAATCATTTCTATATTAAATGATTTTAAATAAATTAGATAAATTACTCCCTCCTTAATAGAGGTAGTACATACTAACCAAGCATTCCAACCCAGCTGGTTGTGACGTTACCGTGCTTAGTGAGAGGTCTCGAGTTCGAAACCCACTAGGCACATAAGGTTTGAAACTCAATGGAGTGAATTTCAGCCCTGATTACTCCCGCCCCCAGCCCCCTCCTGGAGTAAAAAAAAGAGGTAGTACATACTTGCAATATCTCTTACGAAGTACTAGTAATAGTTATTTCTAGGTTAGAACTAACTAATAGAGATACATTAGTAAAATAAAAAACAACCCTTCCCTCCAATCTCCTCTGAAATAGCCGAACCGAATGAGCCTTTACAGGAAGTGTGAACTGTGAAGGGAAAATACCTGTGCACCTATTCCATACTCTCGTGAATCAACCGGTAAGCCAAGTTCCTCATTGGCTTCAACGGTGTCCCGCCCATCATCCTGAAGATTGTAAGCACGAAGTTTATGTCCCAACCCGATCCCTCTTCCTTCATGACCTCGAAGGTAAACTAACACACCCCTACCGGCAGCCTCAATTTGTTGCATAGCAAGTGCCAATTGATTCCCACAATCACATCTGGCTGAACCAAATATGTCTCCCGTCAGGCATTCAGAATGCACCCGAACAAGAATATCTTCCCCGTCCCCAATCTCACCCTATTATTTATTGTCAACCATGTTCATCGGGATTAGAGTCGATATATATCTGCTCTGATATATTTGATTCAGATTTTAGATATATATATATATATGTGTGTGTGTGTGTGTGATATTACCTTTACCATCGCGATATGTTCGATCCCATCTAAGACAGATCTGTAACAATGGGCAATGAAAGGCCCCCAATTGGTAGGTATCTTTGCAGCAGAAGCATGTTCCACCAATTGGTCTCTTTTCCTTCTATATCTGTAAAACAATGTAATTTACCAGTTACACTTAGGAAATTTGTCAAGTAATATGAGTGGTTATGATCAACTCAATTGTAAAAGAAAGATAAAGTAGTGGTTTTGTATTATTCAGTTCATTCATTTGTAGATAGTCCATAGTTGACACCTGTGTCTAGTTTGGATCAGACTGGCTTTCATATTATTTTCGAATAATGATCAAACCACCCCATGAGAGTCAGTGCTTAACATGATAACATTATGCTGGAAATCTGGAATAAGGTTGGGCCTAACCCCCAGCTCCATAAAAGCTCTTTGGAGGGGGGGGGGGGGGGGGGGGGGTATTTAGCTAATCTATGTGCCCAAAAGTTATGTAACTTTTGTTTTGGGACAGAGGGAGTAATTAGCTAATGTATTGAACTCCAAAGAGTTCTCAAGACAGGTGATGATGGTATTAATGAGGGTACTTGAGTGGGGCCAGCCACCTCTTCATGGACCATGCAATTTTTTCTGTAGGTGCTGCCTCACAACTAACTTTGATACAACGTTTTAATAAAGGGTTGAGCCTAATTCAACCTCAAAAAAACTTTCAAGAGGTGTGATGATTGATTATACATTCATATGGGGCTCATTATTTCATATTTTAATCAATGTGAAACAAAGTTGCAGAATACCTGATTAAATCAGCAATTGATATGATCTTTAAGCTATTATCATGAGCAAATTGCATAAGCTTAGGTAATCTAGCCATGGAACCATCATCGTCCACAACCTCGCATAAAACTGCAACTGGTTCTAACCCAGCTAGCACGGCAAGATCAACCGATGCTTCAGTATGACCGGCTCGTTTTAGAACCCCTCCTTCCCGGTACTTCAAAGGAAATATATGCCCAGGTCGATTAAAATCCTGCGGTTTAGAACCTGTGGATGCAAGAGCCAATATCGTTTTTGCCCTATCACTAGCTGATACACCGGTTGTAGTTCCAAATTTGGCATCCTGCATATTTAAAGATGGATCATTACTTTTAGGGACAAGCCATCCCAATATAATAGTAGCAACTCAACATCATCACTAAAGACTTTGAGAGAAGGGATATTTATTTTTTAGACAATTTCAGCATCCATAATTCCATATGGTTATAAATGAAATGACCGCTAACATAAATATGAGAAGCATAATACAACAACAACAACATCATCCAAGCCTTAGTCCCAAAATATTGTGGTCGGCTAATATGAATTGATACATGATATTGGAGGCAAAAAGATAAGAAAGATAAGAAAGATAAAAAGATAAGGTATGATAAAAAAAGATAAGATAATGATAAAGATAAATATAAGACTTGAAGTTCCATCTACCTAAACAGTGGGTGAAAATTGAACAAGCAAACAACATTCAAACATTCAAATTCCAAATAAAGACTCTGAGTTCGATCCTAAATGTCATGTTATTTTTTCACCTAAAAGCTCAATTTCACATGAGAAATAGTCCAAAATGTCATATGATATTTTTTATCTTATATTTAGCCAACGTAGGACCAATAATTATATAACAAAGAAGGTCAAATATTGGTTATAATGCTTACCACTGAAACAGTGAATGCTGTAGAAAGTTTCTCCTCGTTATCCTTGTGATTTACCATCAAAGGAATCTCCAACCGCTCCAAGTCTTTTGCCATCATACTCACACAAACAATTCCAGTTCCATGTTTCACAATGAAAGCCATAGCTTCTGGTGTCACTTTTTCTGCAGATATTATCAGGTCTCCTTCGTTTTCTCGGTTTTCATCATCTACAACCAATACCATCTGCATGATTGGATCCATTATGACAAAGAAAAAGTTAACTATTAAAACTTAAGGTTCTATAAAAAAAAAGTTAACATATTAGAAGAAAAAGTGCCTAAAAGTCCAAGTCTTCATATGTGAACATATATATTCAAAAAGTCACCTCAACTCCACAAGCAATAGTATGCTATTATCTGTTTTAGATCAAGCCTCCACATATTCATTTTTTATACTTTTCACAAGGTCACATACTAATGGAGATGGATGGAAATTTACATTCAAGGCAATTCTTCCTTATGATTCCAATATGAGACTGCGGTTACACCCAGTATGTTATTATTGGATCCATTATGATTCCAATATGAGACGGGTTACATCCCAGTATGATTGGATCTATTATGAAAAAGCACAAATTAGCTATTAAAACTCAAGGTTCTATCAAAAAAATTAAAATGTTAACATATTAGAAGAAAAAGTGTCTAGCACTCCGAGTCTTCATATGCGAATTTATATATTCAGAGTCACCTTAACTCCACAAGCATTAGTATGTTATTATCTGTTTCAAGCCAAGCCTCCACATATTTGTTTTTTAAACTTTTTACAAGGTCACACACTAATGGAGTTAGATGGAAATTCACATTCAAGGCAATTATCCCTTATGATTCCAATATGACACTGGGGTTACACCCAGTCCAAGGTTCGAAATTGCGTATTGAGTGTTTGAGGCGGTTTATTAGCATTGCCTATTGTGTAAGCCTCATTGCACAATGATGCGTCAGCCTCAAGTTTTACACAAATTTATGTAAATGAAGTACAAATAATGTAATGAATACTAAAGTAAAAGAATGATTAAAAGTCAACTAATGTCATAATGATATAATACATTATTCATCCACTGTGTATTAAGATATCCCTCCACTATGTATTAACTATTAAGATATCTTCTACGGAGTACAAGGTGTATAATTAACAAAGAAGCTAATCAAATAATATAATATTCATCTACAAGAAGCTAATGATGTAATATAATACTCATGCACTAAAGTATCCACTACAGAATAGTGGAGTAGCTACGTTTCTGCCCACTGACTCCTGTATCAATAAATAAATAAATAAAATACAAAACCCACACTTGTGCTAGCGTGAAGCAGACAGAAGGTTGCAGAAGGTTTCCTCTCTGGCGCAGAGAAGAAAGCAGCCATCGTTTAGTTGTTTGCAAAGTACTAAGGTTGCAGAAGTCGCTACTCCTACGCAAACTTATATACTACGCGTCTATGGTATGTATTTTTTAAATTAAATTAGTTTGGGGCTTTGGGCTGCAGCAGACAGCCCTATTATTTGTGACGCGCCTCAACACCCGATATATGTCGAACGCAAATAGCGTACGCCTTTGTCAAAAAAGCACAAACTTTTATATTGCCTAAATCCGTTTCAGCCTTGTATCCTAAAGTCCCCGAAAATCATAAGGCGCGCCTTATTGCCCAAAGGCGTAGCACAATTTTAAACATTTCCCCAGTCCACAGGACATAAAGATCTATTTTACCAAGAGATCACATCACTTCTATTTTTTAAAGGAAAAAAATAAACCTTTCCCTGACGAATATCTTCAATGGCATCAGGGATGGACGAGAACCCTTCGCTTGGCCAGTCCAAATCAAACTCAGCAACCTCAGAAGGAAAGCCACTTGGTGTTGGGATGATGTCTGCCACAGGGGCTCCAAAAGAACCTACAACATCTGGTCGTGTTGCGACCCCAAGTGATAAGTCACAAAGTCGTGAATGTTTGGCCAAAATGGTCTGGAATATGACACTTGCTTCACGAGATGACAAAGCAGATCTGATTCTGGTTTCCCCCTTGAAGCTCATTCGTGCCCTATGGTTCAGAGTAACCAGAAATGACTTCCCAGGTGAATGGGACGCATTCAATGATTTGAAGGTACTGGAAGCTCTATAAAACATGTAAGAAAGTCATTGGATGGGCATCAAAAGAGAGCACCAGATTATAATATTACTAGATAGCAAGACATGCATGAGAATGTCCAGGGGGGCTGAGATTGATACCATGTTCATAATAGTCCAAGTCCAAACTTAGCATTTTTTACAATATTCTGGGTTTTCAAGTATGAGAGTTTTACTTGAAAGTATTTAGTTTCACGGATTGAAAATTCTATGTGATCAATTGGAGGTTAAGACAAATCAAGTTTTTAAGACTAAATAACTATAAATACATTGCTTTCCATTCAAACTAAGATAAGAAAAGCAGTTGAATCTGATTAACAGGCTTAACAGCATCAAGATCCAAGCTAGAAAACTAACCAAATGCTAAACTCCTAACTTTTTAGCTAAAGAAGATACAATCTTTCTTAACTTTTAGGATCCGCTTGATTAACATGAATTAAAAAACATAGAGGGTTCTGTAACGAGTAAACCCAGCATTACGGAGGTCATTTCAACAGGCCCTTGTTGACCATTATTGGCCTTTTGAGTCCCTCCTTAATCGGAGAGATAATAGAAATTTCTAAAACTTTATAGAGAATGTGTGACTTCCTAGAACTTTATACAGAACTGGAGGCTTTGCAACAACATGAATCGAAATACATTAACATGAGATCACGGGAAATTTCGGCTCAGCAACATTCACTAAAACATGAGATGGAAGCTTACTGTGGTAGAGAAGGAGCAGTTGAAGCGGAAGAAATGTTAATTATGGAAGCCATGATCGACCGTACAAAGCAGCGATCAAGAATCCCGAACGAATGTTTCGATCTATTAAGAAAACTGCGAGTTTTAAAGGAGTGGATGCGGGATGGGACGCTGAATTTAGGATGTTAGAATAGTCTAGTCAGGCTGCCCATATGCGAATCTCTGCGAAGACGTATACGGAGCAAGTGATTTATGCCCATTCTCTTTTTTATTTATTTATTTGTTTGTTAAGATGTTTTTACTGGATTTTTCGGTCCGAGACGAGATTTAGGGATGTTTGGATTTGATTCTTAAAGATGTTTCTGCTCCTTCAGGGAGCAGAAGCACAAGTTGAAGTGTTTGGGTAAAAGTGCAGAAGTGATTCTGGTGCTCTAATTTACTCCTACAATCAGTTTTTTAGAAGCTGGGGGTGATCAGCTTCTGAAAACTGATTCTGATTCTGCTTTTTCTTTAAAAAAGAAGCAGAATCAGAATCTGTTCCAAACACCCCCTTATACAGACCAGATTTATAGAGATCAGATCTGACTAAACTAATTTAAACCAGACCAAATCATACCACACTTTCATATTTATAAAATACACAGAGACCAGACCTTTATCAGATCAGATCAGATCAGACCAGACTTAAATAGATCAAATCAGCAAATTCACTCCAAATAAAAACATCCTTAGCCTACCACGTTCCCTTTTATTCTTTTTTTTTTTTGTCTTCTTTTTTTCATTAGTTTTGTGGAGCCCTCAATTATTTGATGGGTCTTTTTTATTTTGTATATACTCACACCTCTATTAAATATCAACATTCTTAACTAAAATGAGTTTAGACCTCCGTCTTGAGAGTGCTACAGACTTATAATGATGTCATCAAATCATACAATGCTTGGGGATGTGCCATTTTCTTTCTTTCTTTTTGAATATGCCTTTTTCTTAATAAATGATTTTTCTATTATTCCACGTATTAAATAAATTTTTAAGAAGATTTGTAAATACTCCCTCCATCCCAATTTACTTAGTCATCTTTGACTTTTCAAGTCAAAGGTGCTAAACTTTGACCAATTATTTAAACTAATATATTTATGCAAAATTTAATAATTTTATACTTTTATGATAGTATATTTTTAACAAAGAACATTTTCATATACTTTTCATATTATTAATATTTTCTCTATATAAACATATAATCGGTCAAAGTTAAATGTTATTGACTTGAAAAGTCAAGTTTGGCTAACTAAAATGGGACGGAGGAAGTACCTTTTTATGTAAGCCTACCTAGTTTTTGGATGATACCTAATATGATTATGATAACACTTTTAACTAATTTTTGGATGATACCTAATATGATTACGATAACACTTTTAAGTGCTTTTATAACTAAAAAATAGTCATACATTTAAGAGCTATTTTGGCAACTCATTTTTAGACTTATCGATCTTATAAATCAATTTTTTTAATCAATCACTTCGCTTTTATTCTACACGATGAGTCGATGAGTCATGTAAAATCAAAACAATTAAAGTTACATTTTTACCTAATTGGTTCGAATAATTGAAAATGACTATTTAAAATATTTTTTTCATGTAATTTATTCTTTCTTTTTTTATCATTATTATTTCTATTATTAAAAAAATTAAATATGACTTTTTCATAATTCAACAAATTCAGACAATCCAACCACTTCATCATGAGTTTTCCCAAGTTTTGCAGATCGTAATGTTACCAAAATAATATGAACAAAACATCTTTTTACAATACAACAATTTGGAAATCCTTATTATCAGCCTTATCCACCATTTTTTACTGAACGTGTAACTTTTGATGTTGCATATTGAATTATGTCAAAATTAAACTAAGTAAGTTTGAAGTTGCTAAAAATTATTGTTTTAGCTATTTTTATATATTTTTTTCTTTATTTTCTTAATCACTTTTTTTTAAATGCTACCCATGTTTCTTTCTAATTGCAACATGTTAGAACTTACATTATTCACATGTTTTACTTTGACTATGTTTTCTTTTTGAATGTATGAAAAATATATTTTAACACTATAAATTTAAAAAAAAACATATGATTATGATGTTAAGATAGTTTTTTATATAAAATACGGGTACTTATAATAGTTATGTAAGTTCGAAATGCATAGAATTATGTATGTGGCTCGTAAAAAGGACGTGTACATAAGGGAAAAAACTACGAACATTACTTTGCATTTACCAGAATGGATTCCGCATCAACCATCACTACTTTGCATATATCATTATAATTATAATAAAAAACGACGCAAACATACTAAAACACAAAGGGAAAATTCCCGAAATATAAGTAGATAAGTTTGAAAATTCCAAAATATGACTGTCATATTTTTATTCTCAAAATATGAGTAATTATTGTCAAGCTTGGAAAATACTGTGATATTTAAAGTCTAGTATTGCCAAAATATGACAGCAATTAGTTATATTTTGGGAATAAAAATATGATAATCTTATTTTGAAATATACAAATGTTGTTAGTCATATTTAAGATAATTTCCCAAACACAAACAATATTGTAGTTCATTTGTGAGCGTGGTTGGTGTATATGTTATTTGTGTACACCTTTGACACACTTGTCCGTCTATGCAAACAAAGTTATCTGTATACAGCTAACTCTTTAGGGTCGTGCATACAGACAACTCTATCTGTGTAGACATATAAGTGTGTCAAAGGTGTACACAAAAAACGTGTACACCAAGCACAGCTGAACCAAAATAGTCTGACTCTGTTTCTAATCCCGAATTTTAGGCTACTTAAAAAGAACTAGAACCCATAAGCAGATGCTATAATATGTTTAGAAGAATATCCCAGAGAAAAAGAACTAGAACTAGTAAGCTCCAATTCTATTTGGATGAACAAGAACCAGCTTGTACCCGTTCTGGGGTGGAAACAAAAAACAGGCAACAGTCTGATGACAACCAGGTTCCATTCTGGAACAAGGTTCGCCCCTAATTAGCTAGCTACAAAAAGAAGTGTTCAACGTGTGAAGAAATATTAGGTTAGATCACATATTCACATGGTGTACCTAATCAATTGAATTTGGAAGAGATGAAAAAAAGTAACCTGGGAAAACACGCATGGCACAGCAGCAATATGATATTGGAATGGGGGTAGGCTGGTAAATGTGCATTGCATTATTGCATGAATGAAAATAATTGAACATAAATAAAGAGAATGAATATGCTAAATTATTATTATTTGTACAAAGATCCCATCCTCAGATCTTGTCCAATAACTGGACCCCCAGCACTAAATTTAGGCGAGCAAATGGCAAATTGCAATATGCCCTCTTCCATGCAAGTGAAAAGCTCAGAGCTGCAAATCGTACAGATCCAGTAATATTGTAATAATAATAATAATGTTTTACAAATAAGCAGAACCTCATTTAAAGAAAAGAACAAAAAGAAACATCAATAAATGCAAACTTAAAATTCATTTTCAAAATATGTAATTTCATCATCACCATCATCCATCTGTGTGCCAAGATAAATTTATTTGTTGAAAGATGGGTAATTTGTGGGGATCTACTTACACAGTATGTATGAATTCCATCTCAGTATAGGCCCAAGAACTTCCACCAGAAAGTGCCCACAACTCCCCAAATAATGGCACTGACAATAGCCATTATGAATCCAAATTTGAACAAATCTGGAAGATCTACATACCCAGCTGTTCGTTTTTCAGAAAACAAAGAAAAACATATGAAGAGTCAGATCATATAAAGAAAAACTAAGGGAGGATTCAGTTCCTCTGCTTATTAATGCGTTCATCCTAGAAAGCCAACCTAAAAGTCTTTTATGTCACTATGTATTTTTGTATCGGTCCAATATAAACGCTTAAAATGCTTTGATACCATACAAAATTGGGATGGCGACTTGTTTGAGCAAATCAATTTTGAACAGACCTATCACAAATGTGCGGATCGTAAAGTCCCCAAGCTCATTTTTGTTTATCAAAATCAAATTGCTACCCGAGTTCTACATGCTTTGATACCATAATAAAAAAGCAACCTTACAGAAGTAGATTGAGGTTTGAGGTTTTTTTGTATTTCTATATTTGCCTGATGCGGAATGTCTTAATAGATCAGACGGTTGCAATCAACCGTCAGTCTAGGCCAAAGAGTAGGAAATTGGGACATCCGGTAGAGGATTCAGATTTGGGGTGGGCTGCGTGCGGACCAAAAGTTTTCAATGAAATTGGGAGGAAATAGTAGGGAATACGGGAGTAATCAATTAATAACCATACCTCCAAAGTAAACAGCAGCTTGACCACTGCTATAATGTGTCAAAGCACCGAATAGGTTTGTATTATAAGCCAAACCCAACGCTGCTAAGATGCCAGGCACTCCTGAGGCTAAGTTCATGGCAAAGAAAGCCGAGTATAAGGCACCCACATGGCCCGTTTGGCTAGCAAACATGTAGTGGATACAGAAGTAAGAGGCTTGTAGTATGGCAAATGCAGCCGGCCAGCTCAGCGATAAAGATTGAAGAGCCTTTGCCACACAGTTTGACATCCAACTAATTATCCCCAGGTTAGTCAGCTGGCCTGCCATCCCAACTAGAACTGCAAACCAGGACAGAGTGTCCCAAGCAGACGTTTCAGCTAAGCAGTCATCCCAATTAAGCACTCCTGACAACAAGAGAATTGATAGGCCAAGCATTGCAGCAGCAACACTTGATACTCCTACTGCATCCCTGAGAGTATTTTTAAAAAGAATTAAATGCTTGAAAGTTCTTTAATATGAATATAAAGTATAAATGTAACAGCAATAGTTGTCAAAAATTATTATCATGTTTTTTGCACACAGGCAAAGTATTCCTGTGTGCGATAAATTCCAGAATAAAACAATGGGTTTCCTGAAAAGGCCATAACAAGCATCTTTGCATAATAACCACAATGCATCATAAGATTCTTCTTTGTTTGCATAAAAATAAGGAGTATATCTCTAGGCAATGTGCAAATACAAAGAAATGAGCAATGTAAGAGCTCTCTTAGACGTTTTTTCCTCATAGCGCTAATCAACCATTTTTTTCGCACAAAAACACTAACTTGCTTGACTGAGACGGATGAATAGGAAAGAATAGAAGATGTGTAGGAATTCATTTTTTTCAACTGAAATCACTGAAATTAATCTTTCTTCCTTTATTAATAGAAATTGTTTTCACTAATTTATTTAAACTTCGACATGTATCATAAATAATCCAAGTACGCCATAAAATTCAGTAACTTCTGCCGCAAATTTAGTAACTGCAGTAGATTCAACCAAGTCACCAGAAAGTCAATAACTCCAGCATCAGCCCTTTATACATTTTAGAGCATATTTGGTAATATTTAAATGAGTTCATCATCATTACCCTAGTGCCGCAAAGGCTCCTACCTATGGTGGGGTAAGGGGGGTCGGATGTACGCAACCTTACCCCTGTACTAAAGCAGGCGGACTGTTTCCGGATGACCCATGGTGTGTATTTAAATTAGTTAAATAGGCTAAAATTGCTTAAGTAAAGGCAAATTATACAGGAAAACCTAAGATGGTCCTCTTCATCCCATTCAGCTACAAAAAATACTCCACTCTTAAAAAAATGTGTGGTATAAAAGAAACTTGCTAATAAGGCAAAAAACAAGATTACTAAATGGGCTGTTATGTATTACCCAATGAGCGCTAATAAAGTTAAGGGAGGAAGAAAGAAAGAGTTTGAACCTACCCAAAAACCCACAAAGAGACAGCAAGAAGCATTGTTCCAATCATGGCCCACTCGTTTCCAGTAACAGGACCCATAAGATCCAATTTTTTCGCTGCCAGTGAAGGGGCATCTGGTGTATCTTTGATCTCGGGAGGATATAACTTGTACAAAATGAATGGGGTAGCCAGGAGAGAAACAATTGCAGGTAAACTAGCAGCCTTGAACCAAGTAATCCATGGGTTTGATATCACCACACCAAGCCCCTCAGCTAGTTTGAGGCACAGTAAATTTTGAGCAGCAGCTGTCAGGAAAAGGGCACTGGAGTGTGCAGAAGACTGCCACGATCACATGATAAGTTAGAATCCTAAATAAAAAAACGCACAACCATTGTACAAAACATTATACTAGTATTATACATCCTTGGAGCAAGATAAATATAATAGCCTACTGCTAAGTGTGATCAATGAAAAACATGAACTTTCCACCATCTAAAGTGTTACAATATTGCTATCAGGAATATTGACTTAAATAGAATATCAAGGCTACTAGGAAATGATAACTAGTTATTATTATTATCGTTATCATTATTATTATTACTATTATAATTATTATCCCTCCATCTTTCATTAGATGCTTTCTATTCATTTTGTGGAAAGATTATTAATACTTGCTGCAGTTTCCTAGTTTGGCAAACATCCAAAATACACAAATACTTTTACTTTTTCATCTGCTCTTACTTCCTTTGTTTACTTTTGCCATGCACTATCTCCTGCTATTCACTGCACCTACAATTTCTCACCTAAACGCTGTGAATAACCTAAGTACCTAATGGATCAACTAGTGAACAGAGGGGGTAACAGTCACTATAATTTAGAGGATTCATAAGCTGATTTAGTTCCTATGACCCGTCCATAACAGTGGCGGAGCTCAAGTAGTTCCAAGGTGTTCATGTGAACACCCAAAAGTTTAGATTAGAAGTATAAAAATACATAAATAAAATTAATGTAATGATTTACTTTACTAGTATAATATTTCTTGATTTTAACTTCATTTAAAAAAATTATTTTTATTGAAAAGATGTATGTGTGTGGAATTATTTCTTTAAATAATACTCCGTATTATTGTTCACAAATATATTTGTAGAATAACATCGAACACCCAAAATATAGGTGTCTGATACGCCACTAATCCATAAGCCCAACAAAAAAACAACATACAAGCTTTAGTCCCAAAAGATATTGGGGTCGGCTAACATGAATCGATACATGATATCACCACCAAAAGGAAAAGAAAGAAAATAAAGATAAAAAAGATAAGCTATGATAAAAAGATAATATAAAAAGAGATGAATGTGCATAAAAATGATAAAATAAAAAAGGATACAAATAATGCTTATATATATATAAGGATAAAAACAAGGATAAAAGATGAGGGGGAAAGATGATACGAGATCACTCCTCCACACGAATACCCGCCCTCCACTTAGCTCTCTCCAAAGTCATGCCCTCAATCCAACCCCAGAAGAAGCATATCACTTCGAACTCCCCTAACCCATGTTTGTTTGGGTCTTCCTCTCCCTCTCTTCCCTGCCTCTTCTCCACACATCTCAACTCGTCTGACAGGTGCATCACTCGGTCTTCTACGTACATGACCAAACCACCGTAGGCGCGACTCCCGCATCTTGTTTTCAATAGGTGCTACTCCCACCATTTATCTCATTCCTCACGTGGTCCTTCCTAGTATGCCCACACATCCAACGCAGCATGCACATCTCTGTCACACTCATCTTTTGAATGTGACATTGTTTCACCGTCCAACACTCTACGTCATATAGTAATGCAGGCCTAATTGTTGTCCTAAAAAAATTACCCTTCAGTCTTTGCTGGTTCGGAGGTGCAAGGGTTAGATCAAGGGAGATTTTTTCAGATGGGTTAGCCATTTCGAAGGAAGGAGTTTGTGTTTGAGGTAAATAGAAGGAAGATTTTCGAATATGAGGCGTGCATACGGAGAAGAGGTATTTAAATGAAGTGTGCAACTTCTTCATATTCTGATGTGGGAGGTAATCGAAGCATTTTTAAATGAAGTGTGCAACTTCGGCCGCAAGAACATTGATGAAAAACTTTAAAATGCTTCGATTACCTCCCACATCAGAATATGAAGAAGTTGCACACTTCATTTAAATACCTCTCATATTCAAAAATCTTCCTTCTATCTACCTCAAACACAAACTCCTTCCTTCGAAATGGCTAACCCATCTCAGAAAATCTCCCTTGATCTAACCCTTGCACCTCCGAACCAGCAAAGACCCATAAGAGCAGAAGAAAGTTTTGCTGAATTAGAATCAATGATTCTCTTCAACACCAAAGGAGTTCTCGATAAAGAACTTCAAAGAATAATGAGATGGAGAGCAAGTAGACTCTCACCAATCAACATTCCTCGCCTACGAATTTATCCGAGAAGAAGAGAAGTTAGCTCTTGAATGGATGCACACGTCAAACATTGAGTTTGCACTCTCGAAAGAAAAAATTATCAAAGTCTACAACATCAAACTGGAGAGGATTATACAAGAGGTGCCGAGGCTAAAGAGAAGGAAGACAGATGAAAACCTCAGTGTTGGAGAACCGTCAACCAGAAGGAATCGAGAGTGAACAGGACTACTGAAGGAGAATTGCTACCAAAAGAGGGGGAAAGAGAGTAGTAAAACATTTTAATCGTATTATTATCTTGTTATAAGACAAAAACATCCTGGGTTAAATGTTTTACTATTATCTTCTTTTGGCATCATCACAAAAGGGGAAAATTGTTGGACCCCCAGATTTTGATGAAAGTTTTGATGATGCCATAGTTTTGGAATGTCCCCCATCTTTTGTAGTTCATAACTTAAGACATCATGTATTTTGCTCTTTCCCAATACTGGAGAAATTAATAGTGAGTATCTTGTTGTGCTCTAAACAGACAAAGTTTATTAGCAAATAAATTTAACTGGAAATACAAAAATGCAATAAGGTAATATTTTATTACCTTAATAGGATTTCTTATAGATCCTACCAGTTAAATTTATTTGCTACATAAAAATAGCACAAAGTATTTCGAAACCAACAAATCACTAACTGGAAAACAAAATGCAATAAGGTAATAATTCTTACCTTAATAGGATTTGTTATCCTACCAGTTAAATATTTTTTGGTTCACAAAATACTAGTTGACCTTGCAACTTTAAAGAATACTGATCTGTTTTGAGTGTATGAAGAAACAAACACCAGACGCATGACAGGCAAGATTTTCTTTATTAAATGTACAAATTTTTGTTCAAAATAAAAGTTTACTGGAACCAGAAAAATGCAATAAGGTAAATTTATTTTACCTTTACAAGGATTATTTTATCCTACCAGTATAAACTTATATTTTGTTTAAAGAATCAACTTCACGTGACCATCCCGAGCCAATCAATTTAAAGAATTCCAGCATGTAGAACATTTAATGCGAAATCGTACATGGGACCCAGAGCATGGGATGCGCAGCCAAGTTGATACCTATAAAGAAGAAATTGAAGCGGCTAGACGAACAAAGACAAAGAAGAAATCGGCTCCAGAAAAAGAAGACAAACAACAACATGTTATCTTCTGAAACAAGGATTCAACGACCAAGATTAAATCATCTCAACCAACGGATGAGATTAATCTACCGGAGACGCCTATAAATAAAGACTGAAGCATGAGTTCGAAAATAAGTTCTTGAGTCTGAAAGTAGAGAAATTCACTAAGCATTTAAAAGATATCTAGCAAAAGAGAAAGTGCTCATTCACAACGTCACTCTCTGCTTAGACTCATGCTTCACTAAGCTCTTAGACTAGCTCAGTATTTTCATATTTTGATTTTTGAGAACTTAGTTTTTGGTTGGAATTGTATTCTCTTGTGTTATTCAAAAGAAGTTGTAAACACTTAGGAGGACAGTTATTCGAGTCCTAAGTGTGGTTAGATAGGACAGAGTACCTTTTAACCCCCCACTAGATTAATCGAGAAAAACCTAAAGGGTTGAGAAACTTGGAGTGGTGTGAACTCCTTATGAAACGCCTTCAATCTAGGTCGCCTTTGTGTGAAAAGGCTAGATTGACACTAAGTGTATTGGCTGAATACATTAGTGGAAATCCATCTGAAATAGGGTGAGACTGGATGTAAGAGGATTACACCACCTCTGAACCAGGATACATCGTGTGTTGATTTTTCATTACTGTCAACAAAGCACACACCAAACACTCACTCAGAAATTGTCAAATCCTAGCTCTTTATTTTACCAAATATAGTTCCTGAAAGTAGAAGTTTGATGCTCAGCAGTTGCCTCACTTCAGCCAACTGCTAAGTAAACTGCTCATCCAAATTTACCATTCCAAGATATCTCAAGCCCACATTAGCCTTACCTTGCATCATCTCAGAAGCTTGCATAATCATACCTCTTAAATCTTCAAACTCAACTCAGCAGCTGTCTCAGCAGTACTCTACTGCCGACCCCACTGCTCAGTCAACTGCTCACTAATAATCCATTCTGTGACTCAGCTAAGTATCTTTCCTGAACAATCTTATTTACTGATTACTTCATTTATAAGTTCATCTACTCAGAAAGTTATCCTCACCGTTTATATAGAGGTCAAGACTTCCAATGAGCATCTATAATCTCTCAAAAGGTTATAGTTCACTCTATCTAGTTGGGAAAAACTTTAAAGTCAAAAGAGCTTTAAAAGTCTATTCACCCCCCTTAGACTTTTACCTCTATCCAGAACCATCACATTCCTAGTGCCAAAACCATGTCCGCGATGAATACTCTCAAAGCCATCATGACTCAATCCCACATGCCCGTTGAGGTCACCTCCTATGATCAACTTCTCTCTCCTTGGCACCTGTCGCATCACGTATTCAAGATCTTCCCAGAACTGTTGAGTTGTAGATGCATCCAATCCCACTTGTGGTGCATAGGCACTTACCACAGACACAATCTCACCCCTTATCACCAATTTAATGCTCATGATGCGATCGTTCTTCCTGAAGACTTCTACCACATCCTCAACATAGTCACGCGCCACAATAATGCCTAACTCATTTCTGGTCTTATCTCTCCCTGAATACCACAACTTAAAACCTCCGGGATTAATCTCGCGTGCTTTCTCTCCAACCCATTTAGTTTCTTGCACACACATAATGCTGATATTCCTTCTCCTCGTAACCTCGACTACCTCGGAAGATTTGCTTGTAAGAGACCCAACATTCCATGTCCCAAAACGCAATCTAGTGCTCCACCTTGTGTTCTTAGCCTCATCTCGGACCCCACCATGCCCTTGCATATTTGACATCATCCCCGGGCAATGGGATGACGCGCCGCTTCCGGACGGCGATCTAGCAATCTTAGCATTCTTATCACCACACCCAGGTCTATGAAGTGTAGCGCACCCTTGCATACTTGACACCACCCCCAGGCGGAGGGATGACGCGTCACTTACGGGTGACGACCTAGCATTAGCGATATTCATATTTCGATTCATGTCATGTGATGTGACTAGGTGATACTGTTGGCCGTCACACGCCTACCATAGCACCCTCCTCCTTTATCCTGACTTGGGACAGGCATGATACCAAAAAAATGATATCATGGCGGAGTTCACTAGTCCATAAGCCCATATTGGAATATTTGTATTGATAATGTGCAATTCTTAATGACTTGATCCAAACATGCATTTCGCTCGTTTAGCTTATGAACAAGACTTTCCTCCCAATGAAGACGAAAATGACAAAAATAGAAAGTCATTTATGACTCATTGCAGGAGTCATATATGTCCTACCAGGCTACCATCATTCATAGTGGGATGGCATGAGCAAAAATGACTCGACTCCATGAAGGAGTATGTATGACTCTTGGCATCAATAGTAAAAACTATCATCAGGAGGTGTAATCAATAGGGCATAGGGACACAAGATCAAACTTGTTGAGACTTTATTACTTCAACATTACCAATTGGTCTATAAAAACAAAAACTACACAAGACATCAATAAAATAGTAACAGAAAAGCAACCTGCAATTGAGACTGGACCAAGTAAGACCCCAACTTCTTAGAGGAAGGATTCCCAGGCTCACTCCCTGATGATAGTGAAAGTGATTTGATAATAGGCAAGAAAATACCCCCGGCACGGGCAGTGGTGCTAGGCATTGCTGGAGCAATCAATGCCTCACTAAGAGTCAACCCATAAGACAACCCTAAGGTGCTCTTCCCCAACCACTTCACAAAGTAAGTGGCAATTCTATCTCCCAGCCCGGTCTTCACGAATCCCCGGGCAAAAAAAAAAGAAATCACTATCAGCCAAATGACTTCATTCGTGAATGCGCCAAATGCCGAGGAGAATGATAAGGTTTTCGTTAGGACTGAGGTTGTAAGTCCAAGAAAAGCCCAAGCCCCGACCGGCAAAGGGCGGAGAACAAGGCCTGCGATGGTGGAGACGAAAATGGCGAGCAATTGCCATGCCTGTGGGGAAACATCCGGAGGCTTAGGGACGGCGAAACGGAGAAGAAGTCCGATGGAAACGGATTGCAGCAAAGGAATGAGCTTTGCACCTTGGGGTTCAGGGATTTGGACGGTAGATAGTGTATCGCCGCCGGATGAGGAAGCTGTGAAGATGGGTGGCGAAGGTTTGGGTTTGGAGAGTGGGTTGAAGAAGAGGGAAGGTTTGGGAGTGGGAAGACCGAATCCGGGTGAGGAGACGTGGCGGAGGGAGATGGTTGTTGTGATGGCGGATTTGGAGGCTAGGAAAACGGAGGAGCGTGATCGGAATGCGTGGTTAGAGAAAGAAGTGACGGCTAGAGATGGAGAGTAGAGTGCCAAACTCTGCATTTTGTTTCTTTCTTCTTCCTCTTTTCTTCTCTAATCCAATGGGAAATGGCGGCAGGACGGTGGGTTTTATTCCGTCAGAACTCAAAAGTGGCGGAAACTACGAGCACTACAAACGTCGATTGCCTCTGCTTTCTCTTCCCTCAGGTCGTACACTCATACCAGTCATACGGCACTCACAAGTTTTTCGGCTGTAAAACTCTTTTTTGATTTATTTCAATTTTTTTTGATAATCCAGGTGTCGGGGCTTACGCTCCCATAATCCTGAACTCTATGAACTACCCTCCAAAGCCCCTAGACAGTTAAGTCCGGATCTGATCACAGTCAGCCTCGTCATTACTGGCTCCAAAGGACGAATCCAGCAGGACTTACATCACCTTTCACGAGCCAACTTTTGTTTTTTGGCACGCCTATTTAAATTGGGTAATAGTAAGAAAAAATAAGATTGTGATTACTTTTCTGACTTTATTGGCTGAAGTCAGTGTAGATGATCATTTTAACTATTTTACATATAATGTTTTTCTTTATTTTATTTATAAGATATATTTTAAAAATATCTTTCATTCTTAAAACAGCAGAATCAGTCGATGCAGCCACTTCATAATTTTCAGCAAAATCAACCGAATCAATCAATTTTCGTGTTACCAAATGAGCTCTTAATTTACAAGTGTTTTGGAGATTACTTATTTACAAAACAGTTTAGAATAACCTTAAATTACAATGTAAGAATAAGTACCAAATCAGCCCTCAAACTAATAGTGCAAATCACCTCCAAAATTAAAAATCTCTAATCAGATCCTCCAAGTCGGCGGTAAATTGCAAATCATCTCTTAAAAAAAATACAACAAAAATCCCAAACTCAGTGATATAGTACAAATGGCTTTCCGATCCGGTTAAGGCAGCGAGATCGTGGTTTTCGTTACGTGTAAGTCCCGTTACGGTTTACATTCATCTACCGAAAACTCCGTTGAATATCAAGACATCACACCCGTATCATATAAGACCGGATATATTTCTATTCTCGGTACTATATATGTTTATCCTTTAATGTTCATAGTTTAGACTTCAACGTTAATTGCAAGTATAAACTAAATTTAACATATTTCTATGTCGTACACCATAGTCATAAAAAATCAAAGTATAAAGGATAAATCACAATTTATTGGTTTAGAACTCTTATCAAACACCTAGTGGATATAGAAGTTCATCCCTAGCTTTTGCTAAGAATTTAGCATCTAATGCTCATATTAATCACAATACGATAATAAATGTAATGGAACATGAAATTACAAAGGAAATAATACTTAAACACCAATGATTTCGGAGGATGAACTTCCCTCCTCAAGAACTTGAAAAAAATACCAAGAACAAAAATATAAAAGCTAAGAATTAATTTATGGAATGATTTTGTCCTGGGATTTTGGGGATGTTCCGCTACGAATTTGGACATTATTCCTTCACCAAAGTTGTAGATAATGAAGTCGTCTATCCACCAGAACTTGAATAACGTGTTTTATTCATCCAATCAAAAGATATGGATAAAACACTGAGAGGTATGCATTCTGAAACCCCACCAGCAACATCTGACTTTATTGGTTGATTGAGTCTTGATCCTTTCATATTCGGGCCATGTTGTCTTCATAACATTTGTACCTTATTGAGTTAACATTCACATGAAATTCTAATCGAGTGATTTCGAGTTCTCTACAATAAGTTATACTCGAATTATGGGCAGAACGTCATCCTCTTGGTCCAAAAAGCTCTTCATCGCAATGTTTTATGCTCTAGCTCTCATTCTGAAGGTATTTGCCCGATTTCTCTTCCTTTCTTCAACAAATACTTATAAATACTTATGTTAAACACAAGTAAATATAACGGCTATCAAATCTTCCCACACTTGAACATTGCTAGTCCTCGAGCAATATTATCACCATTGGATGCCTTGGTTAGTTTCAACAAAAATATATGAACAAAAAAAATTTTAATTTTAAGAGAGGTAAACAATTATGTAAACTCTTTTATCATTCTCGGTCCAAAACCAAATTTCTATAAGACACACAAAACTATCATTAGATTTAGAAAAATTACTTATACCCTTATGAGTAGATGAGTGGATTGTGATTATGACTTTTGGGGTGTGTAGGATGGATTTTTGGTGTATTTGACTTTTCAGTATAGAAGTGGATCAGTTTAAATTCTTGAAAGAGATCATGAGGTTTTTTTATAACTCATTTGAATTGGTTCTCAACAAGCATTTACTGAAAGTCATTTTGATCATATCATCCCAATTTATTTGATGAGATATGGGGTGGCTTGTTTTCCAAAATGGTTCTTGAATATTTGAGATGTACTTAAACCATTTCTGGAAATGGAAGAAGATGGTGTTTCTTAGTCACAAGGTTTATTTTTGGAATGGTTTTCAAGAGTAAAGAGCAATGTAATAAATATAAAAAAAAATATAGTTTTTTTTTTGTGAATAATCCAAACTTTCTCAACCAAATACCCATTAAAAAGAGAATTATCACAACTTTTACCTTTCTAAAAAAAATATTTTGTACACAAAATTTGTTTAACTAACTATGAGATGCACCCCCCCCCCACACACACACACTTGAGATACATTGTCCTCAATGTAGATTGGAGAATGTAATGAAAGATGAAATCCTCGATAGTGGAACGAGGTGCTCTTGAGAGTAGGAAATCCATGATACCTGAGCTGAGATGATGATTTTTTTTTTTTTTTTTTGGATTTTTTTTATTTTTTATTTTTTTGATTTTTTTCATCAATTATAAATAAATACGAATATGTTTTTGTAAATAAACATATTTATTCATAATTGATTCTTGTTCAATTATAAATAAAAATGATTATGTGTATAACTAACATATTAATTTATAATTGATTTTTTTTGTTGGGTTGTCTCCCAATTAGCACTCAGTTTAACGTCATAGGTCGGACGCAACGTACCTTTTCACGTGTGATTGAGCTGTTGAAGACGTTGGATGAATGTTACCTTTTTGAGATCGTGGGGAGGGCATGGGGTTGTCCATTCATTCTTTTCATTCTCGTGGTGTGTTGGAGGGCACTCGGGCCTCAATATTTGTGGTGTGCCTTCATGATGTTTATGGCCTTGGGAGGGATGAAAGGATTTTTGTTGACCTCCATGTTTTGAGTTGGTATGGATTGTGTTTTCCATACATGGAATGTTTCATGGTCTCCTCCCACTAATAGCTTTATGGTGCCCGCTTGTACATCAATGACGGCTGCGGAAGTGGCTAAAATGATCTCCCGAGGATGACGGGAACCTCCATCTCTTCCATGTCTAAAACAAGAAAATATACCGGAAAGTAGAATTTTCCTGCTTTGACGAGAACATCCTCCATGATGCCTATTGGGTAGCGGATTGTTCTATTCGCTAATTGTAAGGCGACCGTTGTTAGTTGGAGTTCCCCCACACTTAGCTTTTTAAATAGGGAGCAGGGCATAAGATTTATGCTAGCACCAAGGTCACAAAGAGATCTTACATCCCCGGTTTTTCTGATAGAGCATGGAATAGTGAAGCTTCCGGGGTCTTTTAGTTTGGGAGGAAGTTTGTTTTGAACAATTGTGAATTCCTCTAACATCTTTTTGTTGGAGATGATGCCTTTAAGAAATTTTGCATATGATGGAATCTTCGCTTTGGCCTCCGCAAAAGGTATGTTGATGCTCAATTTCTTGAAAATATCAAGAAATTTTTTGTATTTCTTGTCATCTCCTTTCTTCTTCAATTTTTGTGGATAGGGAATGAGAGAAACATATTAAGCCATAATAGGTGGTAACGGTGTATGTGTAACCTCCTCTTGCCCCTCCGATGTACTTCTCCTCTCCGGTATCTTGGGGTCCTCCGTTTGCCTCCCACTCCTTGTGGTAATGGCCATGACGCTCTCCCTAGGGTTGATTTCCGTGGTTGTAGGGAATTTACCTTTCTCTCTAGAACTCACTTTTTGGGCGAGTTGCCCCATTTGAACTTCAAGATTCCGGATGGACGCCTTGGTATATTGCTCGATGGTGTCGATGCGTTGGTTGAGCTTCATATTTTGATCTTCAAAGCTAAGTTCCAACTTGGTGAAATGAGAGTGGAGATTCCCAATGGATGCCTCCACTCTACTATGGTTCTCTTCATTTTGGGCATTCATGCTTGCCATGCTCTTTGATGGAGTATATGGCCCGGGAACACCCGGCCCACAGACTCCTACTACACCAATGAAGGCCCAACCGGCCCAGGAAGCTCAAGCAGGCCCAAATCGCGGCGCCCAGAGTACCAAGCAGCCCGCAATGCGCACCAGGGGTGCCTTCGCCCCCCTGGCCGAAGGCTCCAAACTATCACAGCGTGGATATTTCGAACAAACAGAGGAACTGGGAGAAAACGGCGAAAACAGTAGCCGAGGGCACCTCTCCCGACATGATATCCGCATCACATGCGTACAGATCACCGTACCCTGTACAGAC